ATACATATGTGGGCATATACAATATATAAAGTAGATGAATTTATATAATGTATGGCTTGTTTTCAGATCCACAATATCAGTATTGTAAATAATCATGATATAATAGAAATAAAATCTTGTTTAAACCAAAATAAAACTCCCAACATGTTTGGAAAAAAATACACATTTATGGACAGACAAACAGACCACGTTTGAGTTTATATATAAAATACATGTATACAAAAATCACATTGATGAAAAGTTTAAATCTACAATTATTGCACATTTTGACAATCACTATAACAATCTTTTAGTCCTCTTTTCTTCCACAGCAGAACAATGATACCAGTCTTACGCGAACTGATCTTCTGGATTTTGTTACTTTTTCTGAAAATGGATGAAATAAAATGTATAAATATTATACAAAGGCATTACAAATACGTGTATATTAAAATGAAACAGTTCAAGGAAATATTTATCTTATGGATTCATATATCATCAATGTAATATCTGCTTGATTATATATTACCTGGGATATTATAACTTTAATAAACCTTTATTATTATTTACCGTTTATACTGTCGTCTTTTGTCTTGTCGTTTTTTGTATTCTGGGTATATTTGTGGTTACCATCAACAGGTCTTCCATAGTTATAGTTAAATAGATTGTAAAATGTCTTTAATGGATCTGGTTTTGCTTGACACTCTGCATCTTCTGGTTCAACCTTTTCAATCTGTAATCGACTCCCTCGTCGTACCCACCGAAACCCCCAAACAGACAACAATACCCCCCATCTATAATATTATCTCCAATCTCTTCAGTTTCTATGCATTTTCCTTTTTTCATTATTTTATCATCTTCTAAAATTATTCGTAGTTTATGTGTTTCGCTGAATTTTGCACGGGCAACGTCAAAACACGAAGATTTCATTGCGTCAGCATCATTCTGTACTCTAGATGTCTCTTCTCTTTCTTTTGTAGTTAACTCTTTTCTTTCTTCCAAATCGTCCATCATGTTTGATACCAAAACTGATCGTTGTTTATGTGTTTCATTGAATTTTGCACGGGCAACGCCAAAACAAGAATCTTTCATTACATCGGCATCATACTTTACTCTAGCAGACTCTTCTCTTCCTTCTGTAGTTGACCCGTCTCTTCCTTCTAATTCTCTTTCCAAATCGTCCAGCATTTCTGATACTGTTTTGTCATTTTCATTTTCTAACACTATTGTTGTTTTTACAGCTTCTGGAACTTCCAGAGTATCTTCAGGAACTTGTTCTGCCTGTATAATTGAATTATAATTCTCTATTTCAACTAAAAGCGCTTTGGCATTTTGCTCTTCCTCTAATTCCGCACAAACAGTATCAAGGATCATTTCCGACAGTTCATTGGCTAAAACGAGTTTTAAAAAAAAAGAAGAATGAAATTGAGAAATGAATTTATAACATAGATGTTGTATATTTTCCACCCTAATCAGAGAAATAAAAGAGCCCGTGTAATCGGTGCTAAAACTCAATTAATTTTATTCCATGCATTCAAAGATTTTTATTGATACATCATAAACAGATAAAAACAACACCAATATGCATTGCACGTAAATTAAACATTTAATAAAAAAATAATCTCATTTATATAACACTACACATTGGATCGTCACACCTTGTCCACCCTGCACGTTTCAAGTCAGTAGCTTGAAGCGTATATATGGTATTAGTGTCAGTGGCTTGTGGCACGAAGTAACAGTATATTGTCGCATACATAATATATTATGTCAACGCTTGGGCGACATAATATATTGTGTTGACGCTAGGGCAGGGTTAGGGTTAGGGTTAGGGTTAGGCTCGAGCTGTTCCTATCTGAAAGCTGAAAGAAAGTTTACACAGGTATCCCAGAAATGGTTTATATAATTTTAATTTCACACGTGACGGTTGATTATAGGCCTACTATTTTCTAATATTAACAATATAATCTTTTACAATTGTTATCGGTGCCATCTTGTTTTTTGTTCATGCCTAGTCACCTCCATCCTAGTTCCAAGCGTTGACATAATATATTATATCGCCCAAGCGTTGACATAATATATTATGTATGCGACAATATACTGTTACTTCGTGCCACAGGCCACTGACACTAATACCATATATACGCTTCAAGCTACTGACTTGAAACGTATCGCCTGCCTTGTCAGTGGTCATGACGAATCACGGATGACATGAAAAGCACACATTATGTGTTAAAGTTATTTCCGTGATGGTCCTGAATGATATCTATATTATTAATGATAATTACCTTTTCGCTGGTACATTATCTCTTCTCTTATAGACGTCCTCATTATTTATGATTTGATAATATCTACTGTAAATATTCAAAATAACATATAATATAGACATATTTTACACAATAAAATAACAGTATAGAATATAGATATATTATACAGTAAAATAAACGATTCGGTTACAATTTTAATACAATTAACGTTGTGCGCCTTGCCTTGAATATTGGTTTCACAGATCTTTCAGTGTTGTGATGATTTTTTTCCCAAAATGGATCAAAAATATAAAGAAAAGTCTGAAATATTCAATTTGTAATATTAACAACTAACCTGACAGTTGAAATAATAATTTTCCTGATAATACGCAGGAAAAATACAAGTCTTTAGTTAGATATAATATTAAATGCAGCTTAGTTCCAAAGTATGGTTACAGCTATGACGCCATGTCATTATGACGTCACAATGGATATAGTCAAAGTTATCCAGTTAATATTTCTGGTTAGTTGGCATACAACGTTTGGGATCACGTGGCTAAGTGGGTAAGACGCTAGCTCGCTAGCCTGGAGGTCGGGTGTTGGATCCCTGCATTGGCCGAGAAAGTTCATCCAGATTTTCCGGCGTGGTTCTCCCTTGTCAGTGATACAGGACGGAGGGGCTGACAAGGAAAGCTGTCTAGTCGTTCGGATGGGACGAAAAACCGAGGTCCCGTGTACACATTGGCGTGCACGTAAAAGATCCCTTGGCAGTTGGAATTCGATATAAGAGTAGGCCGTAGTGCCGCTGTCCGGGCAAAATTTCCCTCATAGCACACTGTATGGCGTATGCCCGTCTTCATTAGCCCAGGTTAGGAGCAGAACAGTAGGACGTTAAACTCCATTTCATTTCATTTCATTTCATTTCTGGTAAATCGAATGTTAACTGACGTAAAAATGCAGATGAAGCCATTGTCAAAATAAGTATTCCCGAGCTCAAAAAAAATAAATAAATAAATAAGTAAATTTCGGGTTGTTTGAAATGGTTAAAAAGAATTCTATGCTTCAATGATTTCTTTTGTGCTTAAATAGACTTCAGTATTGGCTTCGATTTTTTTTAAACAATGATGCAAGTAATCAAAAATTGCTTCAAATCCTGATACGAATATACAACAATCTGAAAAACACTTTAATTCGTCAATATGTGTTAATAAATCAAAGTGGTCATCAGCAAAGTCACATTTGCGACAAACTCATGGGATAACTATGCATCTTCCAGATTAATTGGAAATGAAAGTGTGGCACGTCAACCTTCCCTATACCCCTGTAACGATTCATGTGTCCTGGAGAAATGTCCTGGTCATAGAAAAAGATTGGTGATATAGAAATATCCTGCGTGACAAGACAAAACAGAAAGGCCTACAGCAACTATTCCTACGGGAACATTTGAGATAAACCAAGTCATTGTTCGATGATTAATCCTCTGTTGATTTCTCACATGTAGAAACCGAAATTTTTCGTATACAGTATATGGACTTTTAGATGCTGCAAACTTCCAACAGTGACAACTCCGTTCAGAATAAAGTAATTTGACTGAAATTTTCAATATTTTCTTTTTTTTTATCATCTATTTTTGAATTATAATAGCAAGAATGGCCAACTCTTTATTAAACTCTTAACTACTGTATCTTTAAACAATTTATTCAATAAACTGAAAAGGATTTAACAGACAAGGGCCTTTATAAGTTCTCCCCAAAAGTTATTTCTAGAATAATAGCAGTAAACCTTTATTTCAGATAAGATTTGAGGCTAAAGTTGTTACAAATATTTAAACTGAAACTTGGCATGTATAAATATGTAGTTTTCTCACGAAAATAGATATATATTATGACTGAAGCGGGGGGGGGGGGGGTCGCCACCGAGCTGTGAATTTATGAGACCAAGTTTATCAAGACCAATTTTTTGCGTAGATTCCGAATATGTGTGGTGATCAGGCGTTTGAGGGCGCGTTGTCGAGATATGGGGGTTCCAATGTCTACAACTGGAGGGAAATGTGATTATGTTGACATAAATGATTATCATATGTTATATATTAGTAAAACATACATTTCTAGGACTATCCATCTCTAAATAAGTGTATATAATGCCCCTGGACAACTATTTTGATTTGTAGGGGGTGGGGTGGGGTAGGGGGCTGCATGTGTGCGTGTATGGAAGAATGGCTTACCCACTTACCCACCGTGACCCCCGATTTCAGGAAGACAATGCTGTTGTCTTAATAGACTACAGTCATTTCTTAATATAAATTTTCCAAATAAGGGCCGCATATTTGGACTCTGTGTAATAATTTCTTTTGTTTAAAGGCTTAAAAGAGTCATTTTAATAATGTATACAAATACCAGGTTCGTGGCAATTCAATAATTGTTGCTGTTGATTTATCAATATACTGAAGATAAATTTCTTATAAACCATATCGCTTTAAGAATGAAAGGGGCCATTTAAAAAAATGTTATAATTTTTATTTCGTGATATTTGATAAATAACTAGTCAGATATAAAAAAAATGATCATAAAACATAAATGCATATATACTGATACTACAAAAGGGGCGTGCGTATACAATACAGGTTAATATTTATTTTTTAAAGATGAATTCAAATACTTTTGTTTTCTGTTATTTTAAAAATATATTATAACGTCTAACATATATACACACACACACACATACACGCACACCCACCCACACCCACACACACCCACACCCCCCCCCCCCCACACACACACCCACACATCCATACATCATAATTTATCAAAGATGAATTCAAATAGTTTTCTTTTCTTTTTTTTACTAATTGTAAAATATAATATGCACCTGACATTATGTTTATATAGACATGTATACATATGTGGGCATATACAATATATAAAGTAGACTACATTATATCTCAAAATAAAACTGGAGATGAATGTATATAAGGTATGGCTTGTTTTCAGATCCACAATATCAGTAGTGTAAATAATCATGATATAATAGAAATAAAATCTTGTTTAAACCAAAATAAAACTCCCAACATGTTTGGAAAAAAATACACATTTATGGACAGAGAAACAGACCACGTTTGAGTTTATATATAAAATACATGTATACAAAAATCACATTGATGAAAAGTTTAAATCTACAATTATTGCACATTTTGACAATCACTATAACAATCTCTTAGTCCTCTTTTCTTCCACAGCAGAACAATGATACCAGTCTTGCGCGAACTGATCTTCTGGATTTTGTTACTTTTTCTGAAAATGGATGAAATAAAATGTATAAATATTATACAAAGGCATTACAAATACATGTATATTAAAATGAAACAGTTCAAGGAAATATTCATCTTATGGATTCATATATCATCAATGTAATATCTGCTTGATTATATATTACCTGGGATATTATAACTTTAATAAACCTTTATTATTATTTACCGTTTATACTGTCGTCTTTTGTCTTGTCGTTTTTTGTATTCTGGGTATTTTTGTTGCCATGATCAACCGGTCTTCCATAGTTATAGTTAAATAGGTTGTAAAATGTCTTTAAAGGATCTGGTTTTGCTTGACACACAGAATCTTCTGTAGTAATCTGGTTCAACCTTTTCAATCTGTAATCGACCTCCTCGTCGTACCGACCAAAACCCCCAAACAGACAACAATACCCCCCATCTATAATATTATCTCCAATCTCTTCATTTTCTGTGCATTTTCCTTTTTTCATTATTTTATCATCTTCTAAAATTATTCGTAATTTATGTGTTTCGCTGAATTTTGCACGGGCAACGTCAAAACACGAAGATTTCATTGCGTCAGCATCATTCTGTACTCTAGATGTCTCTTCTCTTTCTTTTGTAGTTAACTCTTTTCTTTCTTCTAATTCCCTTTCCAAATCGTCCATCATGTTTGATACCAAAACTGATCGTTGTTTATGTGTTTCATTGAATTTTGCACGGGCAACGCCAAAACACGAATCTTTCATAACATCGGCATCATACTTTACTCTAGCTGACCCTTCTCTTCCTTCTGTAGTTGACCCGTCTCTTCCTTCTAATTCTCTTTCCAAATCGTCCAGCATTTCTGATACTGTTTTGTCATTTTCATTTTCTAACACTATTGTTGTTTTTACAGCTTCTGGAACTTCCAGAGTATCTTCAGGAACTTGTTCTGCCTGTATAACTGAATTATAATTCTCTATTTCAACTAAAAGCGCTTGGACATTTTGCTCTTCCTCTAATTCCGCACAAACAGTATCAAGGATCATTTCCGACAGTTCATAGGCTAAAACGAGTTTAAAAAAAAAGAAGAATGAAATTGAGAAATGAATTTATAACATAGATGTTGTATATTTTCCACCCTAATCAGAGAAATAAAAGAGCCCGTGTAATCGGTGCTAAAACTCAATTAATTTTATTCCATGCATTTCAAAGATTTTTATTGATACATCATAAACAGATAAAAACAACACCAATATGCATTGCACGTAAATTAAACATTTAATAAATAAATAATCTCATTTATATAACACTACACATTGGATCGTCACACCTTGTCAGTGGTCATGACGAATCACGGATGACATGAAAAGCACACATTATGTGTTAAAGTTATTTCCGTGATGGTCCTGAATGATATCTATATTATTAATGATAATTACCTTTTCGCTGGTACATTATCTCTTCTCTTATAGACGTCCTCATTATTTATGATTTGATAATATCTACTGTAAATATTCAAAATAACATATAATATAGACATATTTTACACAATAAAATAACAGTATAGAATATAGATATATTATTTTACACAATAAAATAAACGAATCGGTTACAATTTTAATACAATTAACATTGTGCGCCTTGCCTTGAATATTGGTTTCACAGATCTTTCAGTGTTGTGATGATTATTATCCCAAAATGGATCAAAAATATAAAGAAAAATTTGAAATATTCAATTTGTAATATTAATAACTAACCTGGCAGTTGAAATAATAATTTTCCTGATAATACGCAGGAAAAATACAAGTCTTTAGTTAGATATAATATTAAATGCAGCTTAGTTCCAAAGTATGGTTACAGCTATGACGCCATGTCATTATGACGTCACAATGGATATAGTCAAAGTTATCCAGTTAATATTTCTGGTTAGTTGACATACAACGTTTGGTAAATCGAATGTTAACTGACGTAAAAATGCAGATGAAGCCATTGTCAAAATAAGTCCCACGTCAACCTTCCCCATACCCCTGTAATGATTCATGTTTTAGAGAAAAGAAAGAGAGAGAGAGAGAGAGAGAGAGAGAGAGAGTGGACATGCGCATAAATTGCACTTCCGAGGCGAGAACACGAGAAGAAGAGATGTCGAGATTGTGACGAAGCGAGGGCACGAGAACGCGAGAAGCGGAGAAATAGTCAAGAGGCGAGAAGGCGAGGGAGCAAGAAGGCGAGGATTTACAAAGGCGAGAAGCCAAAATGTCAAGAAAAAATAATCCCGTGTTCTCGGGTCGGATCTCGCCCCGTTTCCTCGCGTTCACGCAATCTCGTACTCTCGCCCTTGACTTCTCATTTTATCTACTTCGACTTCTCGCTCTCGAATTCTCGACTTCTACCGGCGAGATGTCGAGATTATGAAATGGCCGTAATAGGCTTCCATATTGATAGTATGCCACGCTATTTTAATATGTATATAAATATAAATATATATAACAAGATTTACTTTACTTTCCTTAATCCAAAAATAACCCGGTGATGTTGCATTTTATAAGTACTAACCATTTAGCATTAAATATAGGTTACGTGTCTACTAACCGTTTTCCAGCTGATTGACTGCATTATCGAGACCATTTAATACCATTACAGAAAGTTGGAACAAAAATCCGAATTATGAATTTGCGAAGAACAAAAATACCACTAGCATTCTTTGGAGAAATAAGTTATTATATACTAAATTATTACTAAACCAATGGTATTGTTAATAAAATAACAAACAATTTCTAAAAAAAAAAGAACATAATTTTTTAAAAATTTGTTGTCACAAAGAACAATGTAATTTACTATAATTAGATTTTTGTAAGAGCTTTATTATTTGATAGATGCATAGTTAATGTCACGTGCGGTGGCTTTATTTAAAGGATAATACAAACTTCTGCTGACATTGCCATGCCGTGTCTTTGTTGTGTAATCGCTGGAGAAATCGTCATAGTTCATTTTTTATTAGTCAGATTTAGGCGGCGCGAGGGCATCCTAATTTTCGGTTATACGGGGGTTTGCTGAAATAAAGTTTTAAGTCTGAAAAAGATACATCTAATGGGTGAATAAGAACTGCAACTTTAGTAAAATTATTGTCTTCATTCCAGACCATCTTGTGAACCTACCCATTGAAATCACCAAAAATGGACAAAACTGGCTATACGACAGTCATCAAGTACCTGCAACTGGAAAGACTAAGCCTAACACAGATACATGCCGACATGGTCTTAACTTTAGGGGATGGTGCCCCTTCCTTTTTCACAGCAAAGAAGTGGGCTGTGGAATTCGAGCGTGACAGAGAGACCCTTGACAAAGACCCGCTTCCTGGAAGTCCATCAACAACAATATGGTGATGGCTGATGGACGTTTGACCACCCGACAGTGTTGTGGACGTCTCTCATGAGAGGGTTGGGCACATTATCACTAGCAAGTTAGGAATGACAAAAGTTTCTGCAAGATGGGTGTCAAATCTCTTGACTGCGGACCAGAAACATGCCAGACACCTGAAGGAGATCCGGATAATGTTTTAGCCTGATTTGTAGCCAGAGATAGGACCGGTTTCCAAAAACGAAAAAGGAACTAGCGGTCGCCATTTTCCTAGTAATGATGACTTCTTTGGGTGGCTGCAGAAAATTTCTTTCTGACCGCCATCCAGGCCTTGCAACATCGTTGGCGAAATTGTTTACACGTCGAAGGTGAATATGTAGAAAATTAAATGGAAACCATCGACTTTGTATAGGTCTTTCACATAGGCTTTGAACTTTTCAGCCAGCCCTCGTAATTGTGTCCATGTGCTATTAAGACTATGACTAGTAATAGCCTCCCATGATCTCATCATGTAGTGCTTCTTCTATTTATAGCAATTCTTTCGTCCTCCCATTTCTCTCCTTTTTGAATATCAATTTTTGTTGACTTTTTGGTCCAAGGCTTAGCTAATTGCTGTCTATAAAACAATAAATGTTCGTTTTACATGAACACTGAGTACATCAACGTAATCGTCTGCAGCAAATAAAATCAGCCAGTGTAATTGCGCCGACTTATATCACGGTCTTGGCATCGTGGGGATTAGCGACGGTAATATTTTTGTTTAGATAAGAGGGTCTTCACCTATTGTGGCCAAAGGTTCACCCATTTTTCACAAACAACTTTAGGATAAATTCCTTTCTTGATCGCAACCCACCCTGTCAACTCTGATTTCTTTCCTGTTCGTTTTACACCATGACATTTTTTTTATTTATTTATTCAAGATCAAGATCAAATGCCTTACTGCATATAGATACAGAACATGTACATTACATTGGGAACAATAATGCTAAATAATCAGCTACTGAACACTATTTCTTAAACACATAGTCCGTATTAAAAATTTACTTACATTGTTCAATACCTTTACATTGTTTGATGCGAATAGCTGCGTGCGTAAGGACGGTATTATTTCAGTGAACTTTCGTAATTTTTTCGCAGTATTGAGAAGACGATGCATCATCTATAGTTTCTGGAAATCAAGATTTGAAATCATGATCTTTCACTGGGATGTTTCGCGTATTGTATTGTTTACAGTAACGTTCAACGTAATCTTCGGCGTATAATGGTAGACTTGTAGAAAAATAGACATTGTAAAGCAAGCTTATAGATCGTCAAACTGGTTAAAGATACATTATGGGAGATTCAATAACGAGTTGGCAGTTCTCACTATAATAGTTAAAAACTAGATAACGTAAAGGCAATTTGCTGAAAATTTCATTCAAATTGATCCACTATGAACCGAAAACTAAGCGAATGAAATTTCTGCCTAGCCTCTGTCATCATTACTAAAGTCAGTACTATAAACAGCATAGTCTTGAGTAGCCATTTAATCGTTTAATCGAGAAGAAAAGTTATGCAGTGAATCGGCTCACAATCCACTTAGGATTGCAGGCTAGCGATGCCACCTAGAGTTGGTTATGGTCTGGATAAGTTAATTAATGTCTAATTAATAATTTAGATAACATTTCAGGCCTAAAGAAAGACCTGCAATAGACAGATTTAGCTCTTGCATAATGTATGTTTAAATAAAATGAAATGAAGTTTAACGCCCTTGTTTGACACATCCGAACGACATGACACTGTTCCTTGCCAGACCCCCGTCTGCACAACTGACAAGGTGAAACCACGTTACAAAATCCCAAAGTACTTTCTTGCCAACACCAGGATCGATCCCAGACCACCTGGTTAGTGAGCTAACGCCTTATTCACTCAGCCACCGTGGCTTGCGCTTGTGGGTGAACTGTTGGTTCAATTTTGTCATAAAATATAAAAATTGTTGATCTTAAAGTTTTTTTTTATTGATCTCGCGATCTGCTGTAACGGTGGTGGGCTTTTACAAGTTAATTGGTAATCGATATATTGTTTTACCAAAGTAATATCAAATCCATTTGACATCGTGTAATATAAATTGATATTGATTCAAGTTTCTGTTTTTTACCAACTCGATAATAATATCAATTAAATTCATACAGTGATCGAAATACTTTTTACAATGAAATTCTTGTTTATGTATATCTGCCTTAATAATAAGAATAATCGATTCTGATTTCTAAATAATAACACAAATCGCTGTTAAAAAATCTGTTATTAGCTAATGACATCAAGGAAAATGTCATAAAGGTCCAATTGTCAGAGGGAGAGAGAGAGAGAAATGGGGTTTAACGTCCACTCGACACAAACTAGGCCATTTCGGGACTAATATATGGTTTAATTTTATTTCAATAATTCGCTTGCGCGTAGGGGTCTTTAGCAGTGGGAGGAAACCGGAGGACCCGGAGAAAACCCACGAGGTTGGACAGGCGCCAATTGTCAGAGAGAGTTTGGATGCATGGCTGAATGGTTAGCACGTGCGCGCTGTATCATAAAGTCTGTCATTGAGTCAACTGGCGTGGTTTCGATTCCCCGGTTGTATCTGACAAGGAGTAGGGTCGCCTGTCCAACCTCGTGGGTTTTCTCCGGGCCCTCTGGTTTCCTCCCACTGATAAAGACCCCTACGCGCAAGCGAATTATGGGAAAAAAATTGAAACACATGTTAGTCCCGAAATGACCTAGTGTGTGTCGAGTGGACGTTAAACCCCATTTCTCTCTCTCTCTCTCTTCAATTGTCAGAATTAGATCTTCAGGTGTAGCCTAAAGCAGTGGACACATTAGTCGAATCTTTCGGCCGAATGGGTGGACACACTAGCCGAATGCTTCGCCCGATCCAACCTGTCGATTGCTTCACCTTTCACGTCACATGATTAAACATGGCGGCGTCTATGTCTTCAATCTATCACGTGACTTCTCGATATGAGTGGTGATTGGCTAATGAATTCTATATTCGGCCGAATGCTTCGGCGAAGCGGACACACCAGGCGAATATAATTCGGCCGAATATATCAAACCTGTTTGATTCGGGCGAATCATTCGGCCGAATGACAGTGGACACACTAGGCGAATTTCGACGCCGATTTATTCGGCCGAACGATTCGGCCGAATCATTCGGCTAGTGTGTCCACCGCTTTACCAAAAGTGGTTCAAACATTCAAATTGACCAGTTCTAATTTAAACGTAACTAGTCTATGTTGATTTCAAATGGGGGGTGGGGGTGGGAAGAATGGTTAACGCGTGAGCTTTGGATCATAAGGTCTGTCATTGATTCAAGTGGCGTGGTTTCGATTCCCCGCTTGTTCGTGACAAGGAGTAGGGTGGCCTGTCCAGCCCCAAGGGGGTTCTCTGGGTCCTCCGGTTTCCTCCCACTGCTAAAGATCCCCATGCGCAAGCGAATTATTGAAATAATACTGAACCTGATGTTCGTCCAGAAATGACCTAGTTTGTGTCGAGTGGACATCTTCTCTCTCTCTCTCTCTCTCTCTCTCTCTCGATTTCGCCACCATCTTTGTTTCTCTCTTATAATCGTTTATTTTTCCTCTAGAATCGAGACCATGTATTAAGGATCAAAAGTTCTTGGATGATTTCGACTATAGTACGCATCAGACCTTACATACTACAGCTATAGTCCCTGCTTTTTAACAAAAATGTGAAATATGTGCGAATTTGGTAGGTCCTCCAGAGGGGCTAAAATTGTTGTCGCATTCTGATGAAACTTAACAAATATGTTAAGGATCAAAATATCCTGAATGAAAAGATTGGCCCTATTGATTTTACCTCTTTCCATACATTTCTTGCAAAATATGGGTGTATTTTGCATGACAGCCGCTTGTTGTAACTGGTTATTTATACCTGATAGCGGTGATTTATTTGATGGATACGGGACCTAATCTGTCATAGATACAACGGATGTGAGATGGGTTGAAATAAAGATCGACTGTTCTGTTAACCCAGGTTGGCCCACCCCCGCCCCCTCACCGGGCCTGATAAACAAATCGAATAGAAAACAAAAATCGTATATTGTATTGTAACCTAATTGGATCAAAGAAGTTCCACCCGTTTAAATGAGAAAATCATGTATAATTGTTATGCTACAGGGCGTCTTTAAATTTGTCACAATTGGATTAACCTATATTGATTCTTATCATATCTGTCTTGTTCAATTTTAATGATTATTACAGAGGCGTAGATTTTACTGTGTTAAAGGATAGTCAAATATTGGTAAATTGTTTACGCCTGAGGTGTTTTTATTTTAAAGAAAGAGCAAGGTTTATTTAATTTGTAGAAAGAAATGTAAATTGGGG